ACAGCGTGTAGGTGTGTCAACTCGCATATATTACACTCCCATAAGACAGCGAGACATGGACTATCAAAGAAGAAACCAGACGGCGTCTCGACGCATTCGAGATGCGGTGCTACCGCCGCATGTTTCGTATTAGCTGGATGCCGAAAGTCTCTTGCGCATTAACACTTAACGCCAGCTGATGTGGACCATCAAGAAGCGCAAAATAACATACCTCGGTCACGTGTTTCGATACAATAGACACCGCTGCTTCAACTTATAATGACAGGAAAGGTTGAAGGCAAGAGACGTGCTGGAAGACGTGAAAAGTCGTGGTTTCACAACATAAAGGAGCGGGCCGGAGTCACGAGCGTAGAACAACTGTTTGGTTTGGCCATGGCCAGGGACAAAGTTGCCATATTGACGGCCAACCTCCAGTACTTAGAGACACTTTAAGAAGAAGGAGAAGACTCCCTTAATCGAGATGCTGGTATAAAAATATCAATATGTAAGTATTACATTTGATAAAGGTTTTTTTTATACCAAGTGACAGTACGAACAAGTCGTGCGCCTGGTGTTAAGCGACATGTTTATCCAAAGCAGATAGAAGAATTTGTTCGAAAATTATTCAGCCAAATTATTACGATGACAACTGCGCTTCGATTGGCTAGCTCGAATTCGAAACAATTGACGGGTGTCGTCAATTGTTTCACTTCAAATCGAGCATTTTAGCTTGAGTTTTACTATAATGAAGGAAAACTGAAAAATTACATATTTAATGTTTAATTACCGTTGAAATGTGATTCCGTTTGTTTTATAATTAGAAATTTTGATACTTTTCCCACACCGCCGAATGGAACAGCCCCCCATTGTTAGAGATATTATATTTATTACAATAAATATAGAATATTTTTGGAATATACGGAGAAATACACACAGGTCAGTTGTTGGCGCTATACTATTTCAGCTTTCTAATGTGTGATTTCAGTGCAAACGCGAGTTGATATTTAAAAGTGATATAAGACCCATTTGCCTGATGAGTTGCCAGGGATGGATGGCCCTTATTTCGTCTCTATTTCTGGTTATTTACTCGATGATACCAAACAATTGCAATGGTAGTTGAATAACAGGTCGATGGCTAGCCTCTGACATGGCACTACTTTAAACTTGTAGCGGAATACTCAGCGTACAAAATCCTGCCATTGGCACTCTATTGACACACAATTGGGGTGATTTTTAATTACAAGACTTGGTGCCCTGGTAGGAATTTCATTATTCCTCTTCATTACACTATATTGAAACTCTCGGTCCGTAGAGACACAGTACCCTTTCTTTCTATAAAATTATTAAAAAAGTCATTAAGTCAGCTGTTTTTAGTTGTAACAGTACCTGGATGAGTGACGAAACAGATTTCTCACAAATGGCTCTATGGCAAAAAAGTCATTAAAAACCAAAAACAAAGACCTGCGACAAGCACAGAAAAGATCGTGAAATCCGTTAGTTCGTTCCGTGTCTTGGTTAGCATAGCGTCTGGCATGGTTTGCTGGTAGACGTTGAATTTCAACTTCGAATCCAGCCGGATAGAAGGATTTTTTTCTAAGTGTTCGATCTTCGTATTAATAATTATATTTAAATAAATATGAACCGGCTGATAGACCCAAGTGCTTGTAGCTACCTTGTCCAATTAGTATAGCCATCCAAAGACAAATTCTGGCAGTATTTTAGGCGCCTCAAGAATCATAATGTATACATTTCATGTAGCACTGTTCCCAGTATTTAAGCCTTTAATGCGGCTCATTGTATCTCTATAAATGATTAACTATTGAGACCTGTCATTTTTATTGTTAAGGTTTTTTTGTATCTGTTACCAATTGCTATCAATGGCTTATATAATTCTAATTATGATACCAATGTCGTATGTGGGTGTGGTCATGTGTACTTATTGAGTTGTAGATAAGGTCAATGTTATACCAAAGTAAGAGTTGGTAACTGATTGGAATAACGACTCGCTCACAGAGATGAGTAATTCAAATCTTTTTTAATCGTTGTCAGCGGGTTGCCTAAGTGTTGCTTTGTTATTTTTTTCTGTTGGGTTGGCCAACAAGTCGTTGCGGTATTAAAGTATACACGAACCACAATTTGCCCTTTTGGGTAATTTCAAATTTTTTTTAAGAGTACCAAGCGACGAGACGAGCAAGTCGCGTGCCTAATGGTAAGCTACACGTCTGCCCATGACAGTTGCAATATCATTCAGAACTTTAAAACACAAAGATCTGAGGGGCACCGCCACAGCGTCCACCACTGAGACATAAGTTGATAAGTCTCATGTGCCTGTAATTTCACCGGCACCCTTCAAAACCCGAAATGTTTGGCGGCAGAAATAGGTACAGTGACAGTACTTCCCTGGAGAAACTCTTAAAGAATTCCTCTTTCGTAAAAAGTTTGTCTTTACTTAAAAAATATAGCTCTGATTGTCGTTTGACGGTCTCTTCGTTATCAAAGACTTGTACTTACATACTCCTGAGGCTCAGCGACCCTACGTGATTTGTACGGTCCCTATCTTGTACGATCTCCACCCAGTTCTCTGCAAGCAGGGCGCGAAGGTCTTTCTCTACTTCGTCCCTCCATCGGTGTTTGGGCCGACCAACTGGTCATTGACCACGAAGACGTCTCATGTAGGCCCTTTTCACTTATAAGCTGGCACCCCTTCGAAGTGTCCGAGCCCACAAAGAGTTGAGCACTAAGTTTTGGATATTGAAAGAATCTTGTACGATCTCCTCCTAGTTGTCTGCATGCAGGGCGCGGAGGTCTTTCTGTGCTTTGTCTCTCCATCGGTACTTGGGCCGACCAACCGATCATTGACCTCTAGGACATTCCATGTAGGCCCTTTTCACCTATAAGCTGACATCCTTTCAAGGTATCCAAACCAACTAAGTCTTGTACATTAAAAGAAATTCTGAACACCGTATCTAATGAAAATCCGAAGGGGCCATGTCGGGCGAATGATGTAACACGTGTCAGTCTAACTGCACAAGTTTGAGGGCTTTATAAAGATCTGTGTGGCATTATTATGATGAAATACGATATCGTTATGATACATAATTTCTGGGCGTATTTCATTAAATATAAATATAAAATATTCTCGCCCATTCTTAAAATGCGCGCTATAAAATATTATAAGTTATATTATTTTTAATATAACTTTTTAAAAGAAAAAAAATGCTTTTGTGTTTAAAATTACCTAATGACAAAAAGCGAACGAACATTGTTTTAAATATATTTTCAATGATTTGTAAAATGAAATGAAAATGAAAATAGAATGAAATGAAAAATGTATTGTAGTTGGTTCCGCATAGTTCAACCGTGTATTCGACTCTCCCTTGACAAGTTTTTTATCAAAGTCTTTTCGTTTTTCAAAAACTACTGTCTAGGGAATGCGAGTTTTAATAATTACGTAGCATGAATTGTAAAACGAGAGTTGTGCTTGCTAACTATGCTACAACTTTGCTGCTCCAACTTTTAAACGTACGAAATGGAGTAATATTCATTTTCGTTTGCAAAGTTATTTATACGTATACTTTCACAACATTGCAATTCATATGAATTCCGTATATACACTTTTCTGAGGATATATTTAAGGACTAGGGCTGCTAACATATAGACTACATGTTTCCAGTTAATGTGTGAGGTTGTAATCGACATCATGCAGCCGAGACCACGAGTGTAAGAAAGAAACATTTGTGCATGAAGTTGATTATAACTTCGCACATTAACTGCAAACATCAAAAGATAGCCTATTTGCATTGACTTACAAATAAATAGACGACGGGTCTAATACAAAAACCACGTAAAAAATGTCCCAAGTCAACCTATTTAAACGTAGTGACATGTAAAGGAATATGAAAAAACTAAAACGTTGAATTATTGAAATTGTAATGTCATCGCAGTACTATCTAATTTTGCTTGCTTCGCTGTCAGTCGAACAAACGAAGACTAATGCGTGAATGACGCTCTGTATACGATTTTAACGCCCTATAAATTCGAACACTTTTTAGCGCGGACCCGACGTCCATATAATTGTAAGTCAATGCCTATTTGTGTTATTTTCAATGCATTTTTTTTGTTTTTTATTATCAAGTGACGGGACGAGCAAATCGTGTGCCTGGTGGTAAGCTACATGCCTGTCCATAACAGTAGCAGTGCCACTCAGAGCTTCAAATCGCACTGCCACTGCGCCTGTCACCCTGAGACATAAGTTGACACGTCCTATTTGCCTGTAATTTTACCTACGCCCTTACCCTTCAAACCCGGAACGCAGTAATTGTCACATTACTGCTTGGCGGCAGAAATAGTTAAGGTGGCAGTACTTCCCTGGACAAACTCTTAACACAAGAAGCCCTACTGCTACTGCAAGTAAATCTATGTGCTAAGTTCATTGACTTACAATTATATGGACGTCGGGTCCGCGCTAAAAAGTGTCCGCACTTGTAAGGCGCTAAAATCGTATACAAAGCGCGACACTCCGCTTTAGTCTTCATTTGTTCTACGGACAGCGCGATACTGCGATGACATAACAATTTAAATTTCGAATAGGTTGACGGGACATTTTTTTCGTGGTTTTTGTATTAGACCCGTCGTCCATTTATTTGTAAGTCAATGGTTAAGTTTTATTGAAATCGCTGAAGAAAATGGATGAGATGAGAGATGGAGAGAATGGATGGAAATTCAATAAACCGGACTTATCCCCTTAATTTGCCACCCTTAAGAGTGGAATATTTTCTTCAAATTTGAATGGGACCACTACTGAGGACACTACTTTCCAACAAAAAAAGAATCATCGAAATCAGTCCACAAATGTTATTGTCTGTTTTTGTGTGTGTGTTATGCCATTAACACACACAAAAACAGACAATACAGATGAATTGAGAACCTCTTCCTTTTTTTTTAAGTCTGTTAAAAAAACTCATCATCATAATCAAAAATATAAAATTTTGTAATAAAATTTTCTTTTTAAGAAATCTCATCATCACCACTTATAAAGTATTCACAAATCAAAATTCCCGAAATTTCTTCACACTCAGAAACAAATCAAAGGCAACCTCCTTTGGCTTTTCCAAAGCCACAAAATGTCCTCCGAAATCCAAATTCGTAGTACCGACGAGGTTTGGATACTTCCATTTTAATACGAAGTCAGGTTGATGGAAAAGCTCGTTTTTAGTGCGAAGTGCCCACGTTGGAACTGGAGTTGGTATTCTGAAATATACCTTATTTTAGTAATAAGCTGAATTTAAATCCTTTAAAACTTTTTGATTAGTAGTTTATCAACTACAAAACAATGACACATTACAGCGCAGTCACACGGTGATTTTACAGAATTACTGATTGTTGAACAAGGTCACTTTAGTAATGGTGAAGCTAACATAATCGCGTTTGTCACACAGGCCAACACTCGCAGAGGAAATAGATGAGAAAAAGCTGCCTTTTTATGAGGTACTGGGTCCAAACTCCACTCTATAGCTCGCAACATCGAATCTTATAGAGTTATGTGAAGTTAGGTTTACTAAATTATCATTAGCTTTCATGGGAAAGGAAAATATCGTGATAAGAGTTGAAAGATTCACGTAACTTTGTAGCTAATTCTGGAACTATGATTTAGAAAACAAGCAGAGGAACGTGTGTAGGTTGAAGACAAGAAAACGGTCAAGAAATACCGCTAACTTAGCAGCGTCTAGAAACGTCCAAGTGCAAATTATGGTACTGTCCAATTTGTAACTGAAAACACACTATGGACTGTAGATAAAATGGAAATTTAAGAGTAAGTAAACTTACTGAGTCATAGTCTTCTCCACTGTACTATTAAAACTCTCCCTAAACAATCTCAAAGATGTAGTAACGCTGTTAGTACTATAGTACAACATAACATTGTCTATCAAAGAAGTCATGTCGAAATAAGTTGTAATGCCACCCTCTTCTGTGTACTTGCTTTCAGGGTTAGTGAAGATCATGTATCTATCGATGTAATACGATAGAAGGCCTACTGGAGAATCTGATAGAGCAATACCTGAAATTGAAACGTGAATTATAGATATTTAAGAATATCGCTGGTTCTGGTGCAAATTTTACAGAATGAATGCAATAATTTTGTTTTCATACGAGTAACATCTTTAGTATTATACTTATCGTATCTAAATCAAAAACATTATAATGAACACAAAAGCATATTAATTTATGCATAAATAAATGTAATAAATAGAACGATTGTAATAATTTGACGACCTCCGTGGTAGAGTACCTTGCATAGCGGTTTTCATGGTGTCGTCAATTTTGAGGTCCCGGGTTCGATTCCCGACCGAGTCAATGTAGAAAAACTAACTTTTCTATATTATCTCGGATCTACCTGTTTGTGGTATCGTTATTTCCGATTTCACGCTTTAGTTAAACTTACTTTGGGATCAGAATAACGTATGTGATATTGTTTAATATTTATATTTTTTACTAACGATTTATAACCCTACTAGAAGGACGTATGAACTGGTAAGGGTGGCGGGTAACCGATGGTTGCACGTCGCGTCCGATCGACTAGTCTGGAAATCTTTGGGGGAGGCATATGTTCAGCACTGGACGTCTTCCGGCGGATGTTATGATAATGATGATGAATAATTATTCATACGCTATTTGTTATACACTATTATTTTAATTGTATTTGCAATTTTTAGGCAAATCTGTATAAAGACTGGTTTTTAAGGTTTCGATGAATAGGTTCATTACTTTTTATGAATAGGTTCTAGAATACGACTTAGTAAAGTAATGAAGGACACTCTCCGGTCAGATGGAGTGGCGCACAAAATGGCGCACATTGTGGAAGGTTTATGTCAGCTTTAGACTGCTATAGACTGACGGTGATGATGATTTAGAATAAGAAAAAAATTATAAGTAAATAAAAAAGTGCGTAATATCATTTCCAGTATTTAAAAACTTACCAATCGTGTCAGGTTTGGTTCCCTGCAAAAGCATAAACCCAAATTCTTCCAAAACGAAATCTATTTTGTCTTTTACAGGATACATTTTATGTTCAAGTCCTTGCCCAACTAATGACGGCCAAAGTCCACCCAAAATCCATGTCCAAGTCGACAGCTTGGAGAAATTCAGAGGGAAAGAGGTATGGAGACCCAATACTTGTTTGTCAAAGTACGTAGCCATATGTGACCCTATCACATGTCCAAAATCACTTCCGTGGACGTAGTAGGCGTTAAAACCAAGCCTTTTCATCAGATTTGACATTATTATTGCAATTTGCATAGGTCCCATTCCTGGACGTGTGGGAGCCTAAAATCAATAAGCATCATCATTAACCCATAATACTTCCTACATCTGGACACGGGCCTCCTCTAAGGACTAAGGACACAGGCTACACTAGTCTAATACGGGTAAGAAACTTAACACGTTTTAAAAGAATTCTCAACCGTCCTTGACATACAGGTTTCACCACGACGTTTTCCTTCACTGTTTACGATAGGTGTTCTTAATAAATATAAACAAATATACGTAAATTAGAAATTGAACTAATGTGTGCGTACCGCCACAGTAAATGTAGTATTTTTATAAGAAAAGGACTTCCAAAAAATAAGATTAGACAATTTTGTTAAATTCAATCGGGCAAGATCTATCTAGTCACTTTTTATGATGATTGCAAGAACAATTCAGTAGAATCATTCCATTCACTTACCTGAGAATAAATGAAACCTGGTAAACTTGGAATAACAACTTCGAAGACGAAATCATAGCCTTCCTGAGGCGTCGTTAGCACGGGGATCATTTCATAGAAATCTCTAAAAGTACTTGGCCATCCATGGAGAAGTAACAATGGTATTACCTAGAAATATACACAAAACTTCTATGAGAAAAGAACTAATTATGTTATCACTCGTCATGATGAATTTATTCATCTTTTTTTCTTTATTCGTTCAACATCAGTTGAAAGTAGTGACGGAATGGATAAATAACTATAAATTACTTACCTTTACATTCATTTCAACTTTAGGCTTTACATGCACAAAGTGAATGTCCAATCCTTGTATATTGGTTTTAAAATGATCAAACTGGTTCAAAAACGTTACACGATGTCTTAAAATGTATTTGTACTGCCAGTGCGCGAATATTTGCCCCAAAGCTATAGAATTAGTGCCATATGTCCATGATTCATTTATACTTTTCTTTTTGATTAAGTTTGAACGGTATAGGTTAAATTTAAGTCGAAGTTGTTCTTGTAACTGAAAATATCGATAAACATATTATATTCCTAATATACACAATTGTGACACTATAAAAAATTTAATGAACCATTAGGTCACCGCATGGTACATGGGGAATGTGACCTCTAATCCCTAAATCTATACTTTAACGGAAATTCCGTCCTCTAGATGCAGAAACAGAATTACTTACGACGTCAGTAAACAAAGGCTTGTACCTCCTTATCGATGTATCTTGTGTTTTCTTGTCAGTATTGGTCCACCATTCTTCGACGTCTATTTTTGGCATATCTGGTACTACAACCAAATCAACGTATATTTTATATGCAGCGTATGATACCATTACTATTTTGATGCATATCCAAATGACAAAAATCTGAAACAATATAAATTATGAGTTTTAACAATAAAGCTATGTCGGCTGTTTTGGTAACTAGCGCCTTTTGCATTTAATTTCATTCGTAATCACAGGCACAGAAGACACAAAATCTTATATTTCCGCAGTCGACTCAACACGTTCGCGCTAAGATTATTTACTTATCTTTTACAGCCAACGTCAATAGGCGATGGTTACCTTTTCCAACAGGTGCACCTGTTTGATAGTTTGCTAGTTTCACAAATGTAACACTTGAACACGTATTTTCATAACAAGTTTCAATCGACGTTGACAAAATCACAGTTGTTACAAATCGGAATAAACAAAAATTTCATGTATTTTGTCTGTAGTTTATTTATAAATTTTGCTTAACCAGGTACCAAGGATACTTTTACATGACAATTATGTTCTTTTAAGTCTACTCCTACTGGTAATCGGAGCGAGACGTCCTCGAGGCAGACCACCTGCTAGATGGTCGGGCGATATCGACGGGGTGGCCGGAAGATTGTGGATGAGATGAGAGGAGGCCTATACCCAGCAGTGGGTGTTAACGGGCTGAGATGATGAAGTCTACTTTTTTGCTCTCATATTCTCTAATAGGTTAAAGCATTAAACCTCCTTAGATTGCGATCGGTGAAGTTTTAGGTTAAGTAAACTTACTATTTTACAAAAGCCGATTCCACTCCTCTTTGAAAGTTCTTCAACACTTTTTTGAACGCCTGTACCTTCACTAAGTTTTTCTTTTTTTTCTTTATTACCATTATTCTTATCTTTTTTGTTAAGATCCTTTTTAGAAACCTCTGCACCTTTTTCTTTCTTTTGTTTAACCTTTTGTGGCATTATTTCTACAATTTAATCTTCAAATACAACCAAATTTTATAACACGCGAACGATAACTACAATCAGTGAAATGTGGTATCTGTCGATTATGCAAGTTTATCGGCAAAGTAATGATAACGGATGGTTTTATCAATTGACATTACGTGTGCATTGATCATTGGTGAATCAGCTGTACAGTAGTAAAGTTTGTTAACCTACTCCGTCTTTTAACCTATTCTTTTATTAAAACATAATTGCGGTTACGGTCTTTCTTGTTGCAAACAAAAATCAAAAGCATTATTTCTTGTAAATAAGTTTTTCTGGATGTTAATAAGTCCATTCCTGATTAAATTACGGCCTACAAATTGCTAATTAGCTGGTGATCTCGCACCCTACACAGTGTCAAAATCCGTGTAGCTTGATGTAATCTACCCAATGGGAAGGCGACATTGCTGGCTTATGTTAACATGGGATCTTAACCTCCAATCCTTCAGTATTCGTCCGAACGATAATGTAACAATTTAAGAAATCCCGTACAAAAGATGATCATTACTAACCCATTGAAACGTCGCACTGCTGGGCACGGGTCTCCCCTTATGCCAGGGCTTAGGCCAAAGTCCGCCACACTGGCTTAGCGCGCATTTTCCGAGGGTTGTGAACCTTTTTCGACGTGCAGCTTTGTTTTCCTTTACCGAAAACCTCATGGTAAATTTCAAATTAGTAACTCAGATGTACGAGTCTTGTTCAATCAAACCAATAACGCATTTATTCGACACGACTGAGGCTGGCTTGTCTTTGGTCTACGCGGCGACCGCGCGGTTATATTATTCAGAGGAATTTAAATATTGTTGCTTAGTAAATAGAATTTAGGTTTGCCATTAATGTACATGAAAGCGTGGTAACTGAGCGGTAGCCGCGCGGCAGACGCGCGAAAACTTTCGAGTCGTGTAAATGGGCGCTACTGAACTGAATCTGAATGTCCATTCAGGTCCTGGCCCAGGCCAACTACCTGGGTGTATCTTCAAGAAATGTGTCAAGGTTCTTACTCCAGCACTTACATATTTAATGAATCATTCTTTTGAAACTGCATTCTTGCACAAAGACTGGAAATATGCCATAGTAACCCCTATTTATAAGAAAGGTTACAAAACCATGGCAGAGAACTTTCGGCCCATTAGCCTCACAAGTATTGTGATGAAAATAATGTAGAAAATCATAGGTCGTCACATAACTCGGTTCATAAACAGAGAATGTATCGTTTCAGTTAAACAACATGGTTTTGTGGAAAAGAGATCTACTATTGCTGATCTATTAGCATGTGTGCATAGTTGGTGTAATGATGTAGACAAAAAGACTCCAGTTGATGTTGTTTACTTAGATTTTGAGCGCGCATTTTACAATTTCCTCACCAATGTTTATTAATGAAGATTGAGCATTTTGGTTTTTGTGGCAAGCTGCTCAGGTGGATTGAAAGTTCTTGAGGACTTGCCAAACTTTTCAAGTCCGAGTTGGCAACTCTCTATCACAACCGAAACCTGCGCTTAGTGGTGTTCCTCAGGGATTAGTCCTCGCTCCTCACCTTTTTGGACTCTTTATTAAAGACTTGGTGGAACTCATAGAGTGTCAATCAACCTTACTACTACGGCTGATAAAAATTATAATTTTAATAATTTAATTTTGAATAGAATTAAAAAACAACACGTCACGTCACTGCGATGGCAAGTATGTCCCATAACTGAATAATGAAGTGGACTCCTTGCCGGCTACTAGTGACGCGATCAGCGTGGGCCACAATACATGCCAACGATATGATAAGAAGAGAGAAGAGAACGAAAATGTATGACTTTTTTCTTAAATGAAAAGAAAAAGCATAGAAGTTCCTATCAAGGGTTTCTTTAGTCTTGTAAAGGCCATCACAAGTAACATAAACAGCTAAGTAGAAGGTCACGAAACTCATCGTCCATCAGCCTGCCTACTATACACAGCAAGCTAAACAAAAAAAGTGTCACCGTACTACGTTTTCTCTAAATATCCGATGTCCTGTGAACAATAAAATCGTGTTGATTTTTAAGACAAAGTGAACGTTCACCTAGATTATTAAAAAAAAATAGATTCGTGCCGTTTATAAAAACAAAAATGGAATCTAAAAAACAATTGACGATTCTCTTTGCAAAATGTGTGCTTTCACTTATATAAGTTAGTTTATACATAAAATCAAATACAATTTTCAAAGTAATGCACCCTTAATAAGAAATTTAAAATAAATATAATTTTTTACCATCTCCTGAATAATCAATCTTTAATCGCAATGCATTGATATTAGGTATAACATACGTAAGTTTGAGATATTTGAATTCGGTTACACCACAGACCACATAAATACTAGTGGTTACACTGTGTCTTACTCTACATTAGGCGTAGTCTGTCCCGTAAATAATCAATTCAGAGAGAAACAATTTAGACGCCAAAAGTTAATAAAGACGACGATATTACAATTACATTGAAAGTAAAATAAAACAGTATTTAAAAAAAACTCATTTTCTGCTAGTAAATTAAAATAATGAAATACAACCACTGCAACCATTATTTAAAAGTCGATGGAAATATAGTTCTAACGTGCTGTTTTTGTTTATTTTCTGTAATATCGGTCTGTAACCACTTTTCTTATTATGACGTCCTGGTACTTTTGTTTAAACTTCTTTAGGAACCCGTGCACGGTAGTGAGATACAAATTATCTGTAATACATAAAACAAATATATACATAAAAATCTCGCCTGTCACCCATTCAGGGGTAGGCAGAGACCTCCACTCGATACGTTCATTATATAGTATTTGTAAATAAATATAAGTTTTAATGACGAATGACTTACGTCACAAAGCACATAAATATTAAATAAATATACAACTTCTTTAGTTCTGCGCTTAAGATTTGAAACAACAGTAAATTAAAAAAAAACTGGAAAAGTAAAAAGCACTAGTGCGAGAAATCCAACTTTCCGCACGATTTGTAGTGCGAAAAATACCACGTTTTGAGCAACTGTATTAAAAAAATATATAAAAGACTAGGCTCTACGATATCTATGTACATGAGTAGACTGTATGGCCTAATGATCTTTGCCTTTCTGCAAGGAGAAGTACATAACATAACATTCTATTACTGTTTTCTTTTTCTTTTCTACTGCATTCTTTTTCTTTTACATAATTTGTAGTAATGAGTAATTTGTAGTAGCAAGTTAGTATAAGGCCCCTGGGTCGAAGCAAAATAAAATTAAATATTCCCCAACTGTGGATAAATACCGGTACTTAGAATAATAACGCATAGAATAATAGTTTCATATCAAACGAACCGTCACAAGTGGGGCAAAAATCAAATTCATGTTGACTAGTTTTAGTAGTAGGTTAATTTCCGGTTTTAGTGAATATTTATATAAAAATACAAGTTGAAACGCGTTACTTCCTTGTGGAATGTGATGTTAGTATCTATTTTATGTTTGTCTGACGTATTTTTACACTAATTTACCGCAAATTTCGCCATTTTTAGCTAAAATTCTTGAGCTGTTCGCGGTGCAAGTTGACCATGAGCACTGAAGGCCCGCCCGCTCGTGTAGGCCCATTGGGCGCGCTTCAATTTGCCTCACTTAGCGTGTGCGGACTAGGTTCTATGCGTTATTATTCTAAGTACCGGTACCGCTTTACATCAGGCGGGCCGTATGCTTGTTTGCCGCCTACATAAAATAAAAATTAAGAAAATATACCATTGGTAAACACTCAATATTATTATCTGCCTGTCTAGTTCATTCCCAATAGGTATAGACTGTCACATCTGTCCAAGGTACTACGATACTGATACTCTTCGACAAAATTCAACATTAAAACACAAGACGGTCAATGATATGATAATGTTTTGTTTTTTTGTGTTTTGGAACATGTAGTTGCTGTGAATGTTCTTATCTATAGATTGAAGTCGTCGCATTGCCACCACGTTCCGGATCGATTTCTCTTTTGTATCGCGCCCTTCACGCGGAAGTCTCCAGAAACGTCCTGAGCCGTCAGTTAGCCAGATGGGTGCCCTCAAGCCCACTACTTGTCTTACAATACAGGTTAAGACTCTTCAGTTCGCCTTGTTTTCCGGTGACACACTCAAGAAGTGAAGAAATATCCTAAAGAAAAAAAATCTTTT